CTCTCGCAAGCCTTCTTGACTTCCACTCTATCACCACACCCACCTGGAGCTGACAAAACCTACAAAGTCAGATAGATAATATCTGGACAAATTCAGAGCAATTACTCCAATTCGAAACTCCCAGCATTATTGATGCTACTGGCATAACCGACAGTGACTATACAATTATCATGACAACATGGTGGTCCAAACTGGACATCCCCAAATGCCAAACAAAAAAGAAAAAAAGAAAGTTCTTTCTTTATAAGCAAATGATGCAGGATATTTGGAAAACCTTCACCAAACTCACCGAAGTAAAAGCTGAAAAAATCCTTTTCTCAGGCCCAACGAAGACCTAACTACGCTTAATAAACAATGGAATTCTCTCGCTTGAATCATTTTGCAGTCTGCAACAAAAACGATACCTATCTCATATAAGGCTTCCCGTGTTTTTCACACCCACTTACTACAATTCACTAAACTACACTCAGTACTTAAACTAGTCAACAGTTCCATTCACATCTGTAAAAATTCACACCTCCCTACATCCTTAGCTTTTCTATACCAAACAGTTAATACACATTTGGCCAAAGCCTCTCATCTCCTCCCTTAACCCATATCTCCACTACTCTCCCAACAAGACCTTATCTCAGCTCTCCGCCACCTCAAAGACTCTGCTCATACTATCTCTATTGCCTGAAAAATTAAAGCCTCAATGGCCCAAAAGAACTCTATTCAATTCTATATTAACAGAAGATATGATAACTTCCAAAGCGACACTACCAAAATGATAGATAGCATTCTCCAACGGTATAATGACAGAATAGATTTTGACAAAATTATCACACCTAACCAAGTTATTACTGAACCCTCTCAAATAAAACAAGCGACATGCAACCACTTTCACAACTGGACCAAAGCCAATCCCCCCAACACGGCCTTTGCAAACAACTAGGCTCAAGATTATCAACCCCTTTCTTCAATAGCTTCGAAAAGCTATGACTCGCTCTTGCAATCCATCTCACTACAAGAGATGGAGGATGCTATAGCTAACGTACCTAGAAAAAAAGCCCCAGGTCCCTCTAGCATTCCAAACGAAATACTTCAACACCTTTATACACACAGCAAAACTGTACTTCTATCTATTTTCAACGCTTGTCTACACCTTCAAGATATCTCCACATCTTGGAAACAGGCCAATATGTGGCCCATTTCTAAAAAAACAACTTATAATCATGATCTTAATACTATCTGTCCAATCACCCTGATAGAACATACTTGCAAAATACTTACCAAAATTCTTACACAGCGCCTCAGTTCTATACTAACAAAAAACACCATACTTTCTTCTCATAACAATGTTACTCTGCCATACACATCCACTCTCAACCCTATCCTTACTGTTTCACATATAATTGAAGACAGTCATATAAATAACAAACCCTACTAGATTTTAGCCCAAGATATATCTAAGGCGTATGATACCATTCATATACCCCTTCTAGCACTTGCTCTCAAACAAATAAAGATCTCCCAGGCTTCAATCAATCTCATCGTATCCATCTTCTCCCAACGTCATAACCGAGTAATTACTGACCATGGACTTATCTCATTATACCCGTCGAGAATGAGATCGATCAAGGGAAAACCATTTCACCTATCTTATGGCGTATCTACTATAACTCTCTCATTGCAAAGGTCAGCAGACTCATACTAGGCTATACTCTTTAGGCAAACTCCCCCAAAGGCGTTGCAATATTTAGTTCCTCTGTAACAGCTTACATGGACGATACCATCTGGATTGCCTCCAGCAAACCTCAGTTTTAGCAAATTCTCGACATTACCTTTCCTTTCTTTCATACGCTAATATCAAGATCAATCCCTCCAAATCAGTACTTATCACTAATGACAAAAATCTATACCCTTATATAAATTTTCTTGGATACACTATCAACAACATTCAACCTAAAGCCTTATTTAGACACCTGGGAACTTGGTTCTCGTGCGACCCATCGCTCTGACTAGGGATGTTATTGGTCCTAACTGGTCCAAACTGGTCCTAGTTAAATTACAAAATTTTACAATAATTTTTTCTTTATAAGCTATTAATAAAGGTTGTGCAAAATAGATTTTTTAACATATTTGCTTAGTAAATAAAAATGATAAAGCTTCTCTAAAGTTCAAAAATCCTTAAAATACCAAATTTAAAACCTGGTCCTAGGACCGGTCCAAAATTATAATATTTTAAAAATTTCTGAATTTTAGAGGAGCTTTATCATTTTTATTTACTAAGTGAATATGTTGAAAAAATTATTTTACACAACCTTTATTAATAGCTTATAAAGAAAAAATCATTGTAAAATTTTGCAATTTAACTAGGACTAGTTGGAACTAGTTAGGACCAATAACATCCCTAGCTCTGACCCATACAAGCACATATATTAAAAGAAATACATCACAGCATTAATAAACTTAGACACTCACAGATTATACCCAAACAGGCAGTCTATATAATCAACAATATCATTCTTACATGAGTAGCTTACTGACTCCAAAATTCCTACCTTAGCCCTATGCAGCTAAAAATATTACCAACTCATACACTGGCTTGGTAAAGCAAAAGACACTTCTTGCTCAATCTATACCCAATTCTACTATTCACTACCCAGACATTTATGCTCTAAAAACCCTAACATATATCCAACAACAACAGCATATCCAAACACTTAACCGAACTCTTAACTCTTCTGACTTTGACATATTCTCACTAAAAGTCAGATTACAACAGCTACAAAATGCTGCATATACAAACCTCTCAATCCTGGATGACCCCACTTTTCCCCGCAAAGAATACAAAACCCACACAGCTCAAGCAATCTTGTCCCTCCATGGCCTCAATATTAGCCTCACCCGCAGTGCAAACAACTAGCTCATTCTCCAAAATGATTCTGGAACCTCTATTAATAGGCTAATTAGCCAACTTAAATGCCCACAATCGATTAAGACCTCCCTCAACAGGCACAATATCGGTTACATCGAACAATTCTTAAACATCTACAAAAACCACATCCTAGAGTGGAAGCAAATTCACCATAATATTTCCAAAATTTCACATTGCAGAACACCCTGATAGTTTCATCAAATTCAAAGTCTGATAGTAGACAATGCTAATCCCTCAACCACTCTAGTGCACCCAAACCTATTCATCAACCAGCAAATCTTTTTTGGCAAAAAAACCTGGACTATCACAAATACAAAAACCTTTAGCAAAATATCAAGTTACTAGCAACACCTGGCCATTATACAATACTACACGCTTGATCATCATACTATTATGCTATCCTGATGCCAAAACTGTATACAGAATGACAAATCACTAAACAAAGCCAAATGCACCTTTACATGCGTGATACAATATCTGTACCAAATTTAAGTCAACTATAAGAGAATTATCCATGTACACTTACCAAGTCTTTTTACCAAAACTCACCCCTCAACCAACGAACCCATTCACACCTATACTATTTTACCCACTATCAACTACAGAACCTCACACCGTTTTTCCCAAATTTTCACCAACAACTAACCACAAGTTTGAACACTTTTTACTGAAACAAACATTGACTTATCGATTACCATGCACTTATTCTTTAAAAAATTTCAAGCCAGTCTTCCCCCACTGCATGTGTGCATTTTACCAAGCCAAACATGACTTGGCTAATTACTAATAAACACTGGCACTCCCCTATCTTAGTGGCACTTTTAACAATTACACTACTTCTTACAGTTAGCCCCCCTCATGCCCAAATTACAATTAATACCAAACTACTATGGCTTTTCCCCCTTCTTTCTGTAAACAACTACGACTATTTTGATGAATGCAAAGCTGACTTCAATTGGGTCAAACAAATAATTTTCGCTATCAAGACTGCAAAGGATTTAACAATCCTATCCTCATTTACAAACCAAGAACCCCTAGCAAATAATCCAACCTACCTGGAGATGCAAATCGATCTAGATTCAAGCAAAGTCCTAAACTCGGCTTTCACACCAAAATTTCACCAAGTTCCTTATATTTACTCAATCCATAACTTAACCAAAATACTCCACAAAGCTCAAAACCGATCCAACTGGCTTCATCAAAACAGGAATATTACTCTAAATAATCTTTATTCAGAAATCAATTGGCAACTAACCTTTGAATCTATTAATTACAAAAACGAACCTCTACAATGACACACAAATCCCAAAAAAGCTAAACTAAAAGTATTCAAAGTGAAATTACTAACTAATGAACTACCTACTCACCTTACATTGTTCAACAGAAATCTAGCTAAGCACCCCAATCCCCATTGCACAAAATGCCCAGACCAGATCGAAAACATTCCCCACTTACTATCTTGCTGATATCACTCACTATCTCTACGACAACTTACTATCAACTCGATCAAAGAAATCAGCAAGAAACACATGCTAACAACCTCTAACCTCGAGCAATTCACACAATTCTTCATTACACTCCATACCCAACATCAAGTTCCCCTCAGAGTGATCTCTAATGCAAATCTTGGTCCTTTCACTACAAAGAAAATTAATTCAAAAATAGCACCTGAACTATACTATCAAATTATAAAGACAATATATACTGATATTTGGAAAACAAGCCAAGCAGGGTCAATCCTCAATCACCCTTGACTCCTAACTGTCTGGTTTTGGCATTTTCCCCAAACACTACAAGGAACACACCTCCTGTATCACAATACTACTCGACTTGGTTAAATAATTTCATTGTTTTTAATCAAACCAACTCTAATTTCATAGCCTAGAGGTCTTGACCTATCTAGCCAAAAATGGGTCATGAGTAAATTTTTTTAGATAGCTCTAACCTTTTATTTCCCTAAATTTCAATATGTCTTCTTACTTTGTAACATAATCATATTTTAATAAAGTGAATTGAGGAAAGACCTCTCTTGAAAAAAAAATAATAATAAATAATTTCATATACCCCAAGTCTCAAAAGCTTATTTATTCTGTTTATCTGGCTTGGTTTGATAAAGTGTATGGATAGCATTGTCAAGAGGTCTGAGTATGGAAGATGAATAGTAGGAGACATGTTGCAAGGTTTTGTCCAATTCCTTTGCATCTTTCTGCATGCACCTAGCCATTTCTTTGTCTATGGGTGGTGGTAAAAACTTGATAAGGGCATTTCTAGGGAAGGTTTGTAGTAAGCATTGCCATGTTTCAGTTGACAGCTTATTTTCTTTATAAATTTTTGTAGGGAGTTTGTCCATCTCTCCTATGGAAAAAAAGGACGTGCTATTTTCATTAGCAATATTGTGTTCATCATCAGAAATCTGATTTGATTTGTAAAGTAAAAGGTTTTGAGCTGTATCTAAATCTACGTTGGTTATTAAAGTATTTTAAAGAAAGTAAGAAACTTTGGAATTTCTAAAGTTGCAGACCGCAAACCAAAATAAAACAGCCTAGGGTTCGATCAATAGTTAGATAACCTTATATAAGAAATTTCAATCAAATGTAACTATATATACACATGATACACTGCAGTTGGACACAAACCTAATAAAACTAGACTAAGCCACATGATCTGAGATTCACTTACGAGCGAAGTTCATTTCACATTTTTTTGCAAACCGCAATAATCTTATCATTCAACTTAAATAATCACAAACTAATCACAAAATTGAAGATTTCTGCCCAATGTCGATTAAGTTTGTAATTTAAGTATAATAGATTCATAAATTGTAAATACAAATATTTTAGACTTGAATACAGAAATATAATGCTTTCAAAACTTCTTTACTAGATTAGTCCGAAAAATTGCTAAAAGTACAGAACAGGGTACCAGGAACGGAGTGATGTATATCACTTAGTGTATTGTTTTACAGCAATCGAAATGACAGGATCTAGTACATAAAATTTATAACGATTTATAGGTTTTGTAAAAAAAAGGACAGTTTTCACTTCCAAGCTAACATTTATATATTATCTATATTTTTTTCCCTTTATGTCAAAAACCTTTGAAGTATCTTATTTATTTGATAAAATCGACGAACGAAATCAATCTCAAAATTTGATTGGTTGGCATTCACATTATTATCACGTTATTATTTATATAAACTCAATACTGCAACATTTAATTATTATCAGTATCTGTTCTATTGCCAATGCTAATTTGCTTCTATTATTTTAACACATGACCAAGGTAAAAACTATATAAAAAAATTAATAATATAAATCAATTTAGTATACATACGTTTATTGCTTATTTTATTTTGATTTTTAGCTTGGTAATTATCCTTGAAACATATATCGTTTAAAATGAGAACATTTTTGCCATTTGTTCAAAACATTCATATAAAAAAAAATTGACTCACTTGCTGATACATATAATCTAACCTTTCGTCATAAATTGATTACTGTATAAACCATCATAGTATCATCATAAATTTTGAAACCAATATTCATAGTTTATGCAGATGATAAATTATGACGAAAGTTAAGTGTAACTGGAAAAACCAGAATTTAAATATATTGGCTAATGGGAAATTCAATTTTTTTTTTATATAAATGTTTTGAATAAATTATATATGTTTCAATCGATAATTTTCAAGCTAAAATAAACTTAAAACAATTAATAATCATTTACAATTGTCATATGTTTTGAACTAGTTCAAGTAAAGAACTTGTATTTCAAGTTATAATAATAGTAACTCGATTTAAAAGATATTAGAGCCAGTATACCTTTGATTTTAAATGCTAATAAATAGCGATAATCATTGATCACTCTACTTTACAGTATACTGTACCAATTCTTATACTCTAGTTTTAACTTTTTGTTAATTGATTATTCAAAATCTTGTAAATTATACAAAACAAAGGAGAAAAGCCACCACATCGGCTTACTGAATACTTCTATATTATACCCAATGAGTGAGCAAATAAAAGTAACCGAAAATGTATTTGTAGAGCATGTATGGATGTGGTGGGAAAAGAGGTTGCTCTGAAAGATGAGAATATTAAAATTACAAATACTTTACGTTATTGTGCTAGTCATCTTAAGGATTGTTCTTATTTTGCCGTAAAACATTCACCTGAACAAATATAAAATATCATCAATTTAGCTTTGGCCACTTCAACATCAAAAACGTATAGCAATATCTAATATAGATGAAGAAGATGAGGAGGATTCAATTTCAACAACATCAACTCACTCTTCTAATTCATTATCAACGTCTAATAATATTTTAGGATCCCTTTTACAAAAACAAACAACATTATCTCAATATATTGGTCATCCTTTTAATGTATCAGAAGTTCCCAAATTTGAACGTCTTGTACTTCATACTACAATTTTAGCTAGATTTGCCTTTCAATGGATAGAAAATCCTAAAGTTAGAAAATTATTTCAATTTATTTCTCCATATATAAAATTATCTAATCGAAGATTACTTAGCAATTGTATTTTAATGAATGCAACTAACAAAGTTCAGACAACAATTAAAGATCTTGCCTGTAATAATAGAATTGGTATTACAATTGCTTTTAATAGTTGGCGCAATATTGTAAATCAGGAATTGATGGGCATAGTATTTATTATATCTTCGGGAGAAACTTTAATTTGGGGAGCTGAAGATATTAATATTGAAAGACAATAAAAAGATCTAGAATTTGTAATCTTTTTGAAGAGGTAAAAAAATTAAATATAAGAGCAAACTGTCTTGTAACTGACTCAGCTAAATTATATGTAGCAGCTCGTCGTCATTTGAAATGTGAAATGCATGATAAGGTGTTTATTCTATGTTTTGCCCACCAGGCAAATTGTTGTGTTGGTGATATATTTAAAGAATCTACAATATGCATATCGGAAATGTGTGCCAGGTTTGTGGCGCAGTTCGATTTTTCACGTGATGATCAACACTAAATTAACCAATCTGTACGTACTAATAAATTGAATATACTGTATATATACGAAGTAACCTTATACACTTTTTATACATACATACATATGTACAAGAGTGTATATACCTTATATATACTGTACGTACTGTTTATTGCATTGAAATTATTTTTTTTTGCTTTATTTTATTTTTTGCTTTTTTTTTTTTTTTGCTATTCCCTCTTTTTTTTTTTTTACTACTTGAGGATCGATTAATTACATAATGATAATTTCATTCATTTTGCTTTTTAAAGTCTGATTTTATTTTTTGCATATAATTGTAATACAATTGTGATCTTTTTTTTTTTTTTTTTTACACCAATTTCTTTTATTCAACAAATAATATGGATGATGCGAAGCAAGAAGAATGCAAAAATGACTTTAGTATTGTTAACATTTTTAGAATTGATCAAAACTTGAACAATAAAAGTACTATGATCCTTTAAAGTAGAAATGATAATTGCCTGGACAATACAAGCGTTTTTAAAGACAAAACTGGCCTGCAAAATGAATATATTATTAACAGAGATCTTGAAACAAGTACTTACAAACTGAATACTATTGTAAATAATGGCCTGAATAATGAGGACTCAAGAAATAGTTTGAATAGTGATCTGGTTAAGATGAACAATGATCAGAACAAGAACGAACTTAATAATGAACTGATTAACAACATGAATAATGAACACTTAAAAATTGATCTGAATGATAATATGAATAGCATTCTGAATAATAATATAAGTGGTGACTTGAAATCCAATATGAATGACTATATGAGCAACAACCTGAATAATGAAGTGAATGATGATATAAGCAGCAACCTAAACGATGATATAAGCAGCAACCTGAATGATGATATAGGCAGCAACCTGAACGATGATAAGGGCAGCAACCTGAACAATAACATAAGCAGCAACCTGAACGACAATATGAGCAGCAACCCAAATGACAATATTAACAGCAACTTAAATGGTAATAAGAATAGTGATCTAAGCTACAAAAACTTTGATGATAGTCTGAAAAATTACCTAGAAAGTAACCTGGATAATAAAAAAAATAAAGATAAAATAATAGATCAAACGTTTGAGTGGAATTCCTTATCTGAACAATTAAAACCTATACTTCCCAAAGACTATTCGTACTTAATTAAAAAGTTTAATATGTTACCATCTTTTAAAACTGCTAAGAATTTTACAATTCCACAAATTGAATTAGATACCTTTGTGAATGTAAATACTAAAGAAGCAGCATCTGAATGGTTTATGGCATTTGAGTCATAGTCAAAAACTACAATGCCTGAAACTAAAGGATATGAAATTAAAGAGAAACATGTACTTTTCAGGAAATTGCATCACTGTATTCATAGTAAAAAGGTAAAGGAAAAACAAGAGGTACGTGAAGTAAAACGTTTAAATTCATCTAGGATGCGAAATACAAATTGCACTGCAACCATACATCTTCGATTGAAGAATTGGCGTATTGAATTTAGTTATCCACTTAAAATAAACATAAAATTTACTCACAATAATGTACATATGGGCTGATTCTGCTCATTTCCAATTTTGTCACCTGATTAAATATTGTGATAATCACAGATCTATAAATTGGTTTTTTAATATCGCGATAGCGATAATTAATATTGTTCGTAATAATGACAAATCCGTTATCAATAAGTTGTAAGCTTTGTTTTAAAGCTTT